GTCTGTGTTATCTTTTCCATTACATTGACTTTTTGTTCTGTTTTGTTTTTTCCCCTCAGGATCAGCATTCTCTGTTAATCAAATACCAGGGATTAGTAGTGAAACAGTTGATCAGTCAGTCTAAGAAGGCAGAACAGGAGGATGACAATAAAACAGAGGAAGAAGGAGCAGATACCATTCGGAAGGAGCTCCAGGAAATCACTGCCTCTGTCAAAGATCTTGTTCTCAGACCTAGAAAATCTTCTGTAACAGAGGAATAAAATGAGTACTGAGTGTGTCCATCATACAGCTTGAAAATGCTTGAAAAGCTTTAATTAATATTTGGCTTCTATTAAATGACAGCCAAGGAGCACATCATCATGTAATGGTGACAAATGGAGTTTTGTTTATCTACTACTCCATCATACACGTAAGATGTATATGCATATAAGATATTAATACATTGGATGAGGAGGATGCTTTGGGTATAAAATTGGTGGTTTTGTTTTAATTTGCAACTTCACTTGCAGACTCAAGAAAAGCTTTCTCTTGTGATAACACTGTATTCTGTTACATGCACATGTTTATAGATTTGCTCTTCTGATTTGGATTTGTCATGGTGTAAGGGTTGCATTTAAGTGTGCATAAGAATATATCTTAATTTTGAAGACTAGGTTTGAAATAATAATTCTTATAAATAGTATACAAACGGAAGCCCATTTTTACATTTTGATAGAATTAGTGGATGTTTTCTACTAAAGAGTGAAACCATCAGGTACAGGGTCATATTCCTAAACTTGAAAGAAGTGATCCAATATTTATGTGAGTCTCTAAATATACTGAAATCTTTTGAAAATCAGCACACCCATGCTATTTATGTGTATTCTATTAATGGCAGTAATGACAGCTCATTTAAAACTAATTTAATTGGGACAGAGGAGGTGTAATCCTTTTGTATGGGTAATTTGAGGATGGGTAAATACTATTTCACTTGCCATAATTAACATTCTATGTGTTCATTCAACAGTCTTGTTGAATGCTCTGTCCAGTTCCCTTAGCTGTACCAAGTACCTGCTTGCATTCTGTCAGCTGCTTGGAGGGAACTTCTGATGTTCTGTTTACCCCAAGTTTTTTGGAAAAGAATTTAAATATTAACATTTAAGATCTTTCTACATAAATTTTATAGAGTGCTTGTCTAATCTGAAATAGCTAAATGTTGAATGTTTCCCTCAAGTTTTTTACTTGCCTTATTTCCACAAGGACTTTGTCTTGAGGAAGGTAAAAAATATGTAAAATAAAATCTTTTGAGTTCTGCCACTGTTATGGACATAATTATTGTATGTCAAATGCACTTCTGACTTGTGTTTAAGAGAAGGTAGTTTTCAAACCAGAAATGTTTTAGTTGTATCAGATCCTTCTTGACCTTGCATTACTTCAGTAATGCCCATTGATTTCATGCAAGACAAGAAATCTGAAAATGCCATTCACCCATTTTTGCCAAAATTCTTTGATGTTGAAAGGAAGCAAATAGGTTCTATGCAAGTTCTGCTTTGTTTAAATATATTTTTAATTGTTATTATGTTTTTAAATATTTGTTTCCCAGCCTTTAGTCTGTTCTATGTGGTTGATCAAAAGTATCTGCTAGCTTGGAAAAAAAAGAAAAAAAAAAGTTGGTGAGGCCCAGTATGAAAACTCAGTAATGGATGAACTGTGATGGATTTTAACCATACATAGAAGTACCTGATGTTTAACAATATTCCCTTCATAATTCTGGTCTTTTACACATTGTAAGGCAAAAACTGTGCCAGAAAGAATAGAGCTAAGGCCGAATCAAAGATAGTTTTTCTCTTTGACTGGAGGATACCTTTGCGAACACTGAAGAGTAAGATGAGAAATACTCTATTTACCTTTGTTTAAGAAAGAATTTGCATGTGGAGAATAGGCTTGGTTTGCTGTTATTTGGCCAGAATAATCACTGTGCTCTACAGTGAACATAAACAATTTTGTAAGACATGAATCTATTTTGTAAATAATATGCTATGTGATATTCTGTATGCAAATGTGAAATTATTTTAATAAAATTAAATGATGAGGTATTTAAAATGCAATATTGACTTAAGCAGTGATTGTTAGATTTGCAATGTATAGCTTCCAAAAGGTTTTATGCACTTTTTGATTTAACATGTTGTTTTGAGTGTTCCTATATTTTTGATTGATTTACATTTACATTTTGATTTTGATTTACATATTATAAGAATAACTTACACAATCTACTATATCATGCATCACAGTTGCTATATGGTAGCCATTATTATAAGAATGATAAAAATATATGTATCATTCTAATTAGATAAGAAAGATACACTAGAATTCAGAGATACCTTCTGGCTACTAAGAATTCTAGTAGATAAAGGTAGGAAAACCTTCCCAGATTTTTTTTCACTCTCAAATGTGAAAAATCAGTCTTCAGTTCATCAGATGGGAGTATCTTGAGAGAGAAAGAAAGAAAAGGAATATTCACAATTTTCTGATTATTACCCATGAGAAATGTTTTGGAGAGTAAGAGTACTCTCGTCTTAGAAATCAGAGGTTCCATTCACAAAACAGAATCAATTATTGGCATAGCTAGGAAAATGAAAGGTAACATGCAGTATGTAAATCAGTGCTGTTAATTTGGCTTTAAGTGGTAAGTATGATCTTGTGTCCTACACCTACAGTCTTTAAGCAGCACAGTTATAAAACTTCTAAAAGCTGATGTGAATATATATAAACAGGCTTCTCAATCTCATCTACCTCTACAGTCAGCAAATTAGAATTGATTTTTTTAACTGTAAGTAGTAAAAAATTTCAGCATCCTTTTTTTTCCCCCGGTTTTAAGTGGCAAAATCTGACTTTTGTCGCCTGCTGGAAATAAGCAAACTGTTGCTCTACTAGATCTTACAGCCTTCTTTCCAGTTCTGTTCTGCAACTTCTTAAACAACAAAAACAAACAGAAGTCTTCAAGTTTTCAAGTGATAGCATTGGGATTTGATGTCTGAAAGAATCTTTTTTAACAGCTTGCTTAGAGGAAGCTACAGGCTCTGCAGGCTCTTGAGTAGGCTCCTTAGGAAATGGTTGCTCCTTGATTTTATTTTTTTTTGAGGGGGGGAATGGGAAGTTTAGTACTTGTACAGAAAACAGAAAAGGCAGATCGAATGTGTACCCCAGGATCACTTCTCCAGCAGTGGCCAAAAGTGAGTGCCTAGGGAGGAACAGAAGAATGAGGCACTTCTTGATTGTTCCCGAGTGCTTTTGGAGCCCCCAGATACGTGCTACTCAAACATTCTGAATCATGGCTTTACTTAAAAAACAGCAGGTAGTAATGATCTGAAGCTTTTGGGTAAACAGGATACTGGTGCACAGGATTCTTCCTCTGCTGACCCAGGTAACAACATGTTCAGTAAATGGCAAAGATGTTTTCTGAGGAAAGCAACGAATTGGTTGTGTTTTTAATAGGAATGTTAAATATTTAAGCAAGGAAGGACATCTTATTTAAAATAAATAAATAAATAGAAAACTAAAAAAACAAAAAGTGAAGTGAGATGGGAAGAGAATTTGAGAAGTTTAAAGAGAAACACCATTTGTTTTGTGAACTTCCAAACCAGTGTGAAAAGGAAGCTAGGTCAAGACAGGTCACATCTGGGCTCAGACTAAGAAAGCTGCTTTCTATTTCGGGAAGTTCAGGAGGAGATGAGAGACATCATCTAATTATGAAATGAAGCAGCAGAATTTGTGTTGTATTCAGTGTGCATCTTTTGGCAAAAATACTTTAAAACACTTCCCCTGGCACGTGTTCTATTAACATACTGTTTTCTGCAGCTAGAAAAGTATGGAAAGGATCATCTTTGAAGTTAAAGGCAGGTAATGGCTAAAGGATATTCCTGTGCTTTTCATCCTTTTTGGAAAGAACATACTGTTTTGGAGCTATTTCTGAGTGTCATTAATTTTTTTTGACAGATCAGTTTGGATAATATTTGCTTGCTCTGACTGTGGGCTTCACAAGGTATTTGATCAACAATTGTGCTTTCAGCTTTTTTTTTCTTTCTGGAAGTAAAGGCAAAACGATGATTCACTTTCTGGACTCATGTTTGGACCTAACTTGTCTTTTTTCCCAATCCATGAAAATAGCAAGCTTAAAAAATCAGCATTTAAAGCATTTGGCATAAACAAAGCTTATAGTTTGTACGGAGATATGAGAAAAGAGTTCAATCTAGTTTGGGTAGAAAACAAAGTATGTGCAGAGGTTTAATAAACCAGTCAGCTGCTGGAATAGAGATGATGAATTCTTGGCAATAGCAATCAAATGATCAGTCTGAATTGCAAGATACTGCCCAGACACAGGTAACCACCAGAACACATTGTCCAGATTTGCCAAAATCTTCCTATGTTTGAAATGTTTCCTGTCTTCTGCCTGTGGTACAAAGCAGTTCCCACCCACTTGACGTTGTAGGCTAAATGATTTACATGCATTGGCTGTTGGTGGTGGAACAATCTGCCTGGACGTTAAAGCAGTTCATAGGACGAGAGGCCATCCTTGTTTGTTTGTTTTTTTTTTTCACTGCTTAATTTCAGCCTACTCCTTTAAATGGGTGCAATATTCTTTCTCTTAGCTAAAATTGGTTAGAGAGTCTTATGCAAAATATATGCTCTGTGTACTTCACGTATGTGGTGGAATGCCTGCAAAAGCTATCTGGTCTCTCTGTCTGAACAGCAAGAGATGACTCTGATTTGAAGTAGGCCAGAACTGAGGGATGTTGAGGCAGAACCTGGATGGGGCTGTTAACGCTACAGATGGTAATGCCTTACAAGCCACTTCCTGTGTAGTGGAAGGGAGGCAAGTTGTTCCAGCCCAGAAATTGCTTTAGTAGTGTCAGAGGAATTCAGCCCAGTCCCCAGAAGTCTTTCCTTTAATTGGAGAAGTCTTACTCCTGCCCACCCACCCCCATTTCCTGTGCGCAACAGTCATAGGTTAGTAATCACGACTTTTTCCCTTCTCTGAATTACAAGCCCAAGTGAAGTCCTTTGGATTCCTTCTTTGTGGGCCACAGTGTAGCTGGGGACGAATGGTGATCCGTCATTTTATTTTTTCTATCTACAGAACGGTTTAAGGGTTTTGATTCTTGAGTTTTTAGCAGACGTACCTTTTTCTTCTTGACAACTGGCTGAAGTACGTTCCTTTAAGATCCTCCTACACGGTATGTGTTTGCGATTTGTAAATGCACTATGTCAAAAAATGATTCAGTGGTGAGGCAGCGAGCTATTTGCATGTCATGAGGTCTCAGGGAAACAAACTGACCCTCAGCCTTCTTCTATCCAGCCAAATTCTGATGGGACCCTCAAATAGCTCTGGCAAAGTGTTCTGTTTCTTTTGGATTTGATGAATGCTTGTTTCTGTGAAGCCGTGTAATTATTTCTTCCTCTATTTCGCTGCAGAAGTTACCAGGAGAAGCAGAATAAAACCAAATGTGAGTATTGAAGCTTAATTTCCTTACTCCCTTTATGTGATAGAACTGCAAATTTGAACGGCTACTGCTTCTTTAAATTATATGCAGAGCTATGCATATATAAGAAATGTTTGGCTTTATGACTCAGAAGAGAAAGCACGCTTTTTCAGATGAAATAGTTTTTGCTTTATGAACTGGCTCGCTCATTAATGTGGGAGATGTTGTTTGTTGTTTCCTTCGTCGTGAGATGGGAGTTAATTCTGTTTATTCCAAAGAACAAGCCAAGAAAATTGAATATACTGTTTCCTGTGGCATTTGAATCATTTTTATCTTTTAGCAAACGTTCATAGCTATTTGCTATCACAAGAGAAGTTGCAAAGTAGTACCTTTTAAAATCAAATTGCAAATGTTTAAAGTAGTGCCTGGTAAGTCACAAATAACATCATTGCCTAACATGGAGCGTTCTTGGTATTTCTTTGAAGTAAAACCAGTTTCCAAGCTGGTGTTTCTATCAATATTTAATCTTGTTGTGGAAATCATGTAGCATCTCAAAATTCTGTACATTCTGTATCAGTAAGACATTTTCTTTTTTGTGTCACATTTTTATGATATAATCTTGGTTTGGATTTTAAAGAGGAAGAGAATTGAAAGGCTATATTGCTGCCTACTGAAATTTTGCTGGAAATGTGTGCATGTATTATAGAATTAAAAAAGGAATATAGGTAATAAGGATTATTTAAAGACTACATGTATTAATTGTACAGATACTTGATTTCACAATAGCAATCTTTTTAATAAAGATTAAATTTGGAGGAAACTATCAGATATTATTTCCATTTTGGTAGTGGAATGTTGAAAATATTTTTGTCAGAAGATCTGTTTTTACACTTAGAGCTGGACACAAACTCATATTTAGAAAATAAGTTTCAGATGCTTTTGTTGTGTTTAATATTTTTCTTCCATAAACAGCTGACATTTCTAAAGTGTTAAACAGAACAGGACAGATTTGATGTATTGATGTTACAACAGATTGTTGATGGACTTGCTATGCATTTGATTGCAGTATCACAAAAGTCACTTTGATTCACACTTGTGTACTTGGTAGAAACTTGAGGTGACATACCAACCTTCTTGCAACATTAGAGCCGAATGAAAGCAAAAGCTGCTTGAAAAAGATTCTGATCTATTGTGACCAGTGGTATCTCCAGGTTATTTGCAGGCAATCATATTTTGCTAAGCGTGTTTTGTTGACTTGGAAAGAAGTAAGTTCTGCCATAAACCAATAAGCCCAGCTTTCTACATATCTTTTTTACCATGCCTGAGTTTTACTTCTCAAAAATGTTTAAAACTTTCCATACTGCCTTACCATGAACAGACAGAAGCGTGAAAATCTTCACCAGCACGCTTCCTAATGCCTGGGCTAGAATCAGAAGGTAAAACCCTGACCCTGCTCAGATGAGCAGTACTCCTCTCAGCTAAACAATCTCTGGACTCTGTCAGACTTTTATATTGCCTAAGGAGTAAAACTGACCTAAGTTTTTCTTCATGTTTTCCTGCCAGCTAAGTGTAAGATGATGTCTTATGTCTAATTCTAGGATGTTTATGATGTTTATGATTTCCAGCTCAGCTCTTTTATTCAAATCTCTAGAGACAAAGTTGGGGAATTGGAATAAGGAAATCACAGAATCACAGAATCACAGAATTGTAGGGGTTGGAAGGGACCTCCAGAGATCATCGAGTCCAACCCCCCTGCCAAAGCAGGTTCCCTACAGCAGGTCGCACAGGTAGGCATCCAGGCAGGTCTTGAACATCTCCAGAGAAGGAGACTCCACCACCTCCCTGGGCAGCCTGTTCCAGTGCTCCGTCACCTCACTGTAAAGAAGTTCTTGCGCACATTTGTGCGGAACTTCGTATGCTGCAATTTCCAGCCATTTCCCCTTGTCCTGTCTCCACTTACCACTGAAAACAGTCCGGCCTCGCCATTCTAATTCCAAAATGCTGCTGGCATTCCATTTGTGGTCCTGCAGTGGGGATCTTCTGGGAATCTCCTAGTTTTAGTTAAGAGGCTGTGAGCTTCTCATTTTATACATTTATGTTTTCCAGTAAAGTGTAAGAGGAATGAAGTAAGGATAGATTTGTAGAAATACGTAAACATTACTCCAAAAACAATGAACTGATATCTAAAAATAATTTCATAAAATCCCATGACATAAAAAACCCCGTGACACAAAATTCTGTAACAAGAGATGCAGTGAGGGACAAATTACTACAAAGACTAACTTACTTCCCTTGGTTGCCTCCATGATAATGACTAAATTAAGTTTCTGCTCGGAATCACCCTGGAGAGGAATTTTTCTCACTCCCTTAACAATAAAAAGTGACTTGTGAATTAGCCTCTATGGACTTAGGTTAGGTTTTGTAATATCCCTGTTCTCCTGATATTGAACCATATATATATCAGCTGTTATCCCCTCCAGCTTCCCTTTCTCATATTAAGAGGGTTTATTTTTTTATTTTACTTCACTTCTTCCATAACATCAGGTTACTTTCCCTCTCAGCCATGTTTGCCTTCAAGTTTGAATTTGTTCTAAGTCCGTATGTTAGGACTGGTAAATCCTTGCAACATATTCCAGATAAGGCAGCCTTTTCAGATCCCTTAAGTCATAGCTGGCATGGGAGGCTGACCACCTGGCAACTTTCATGTAGTGTTTTCAGCATCCCAGGCCAGTGCCATGACTACACCCTGACAACCAGATTTGCCTTGTGGCAAAGCCATGAAGACTGGCTGCACGCCTTCCCATACCTGCAGGTCTGCTCTCTGACCTTGAGCAAGTCTCACAGCTGTGTTTTAGGGTTACCTTTTTATCATTAGAAAAGCATTCTGAAGTCTTTGAAAAGATTGAAAAATGTCAGAGAATTAAGTTATTGTTCTTTTGGTCAGAAGCCCACAGCAGTGTTAGGTTATACATGCATATATGAGGAGATGAGTCTTTCACAAGTGACCTCTGCAATTTCTAATTCAGCCACACCATAATTCAGTTATGTGTTATAACACATTAAATTGTTGCACAATTAGAGCTGTGTAAATGTCTGGATTGAGGATGCCATTTGCATGCAGAAAAAGGGAGAAGATTAGAGGAAAACTGTCTGTGTTTAATTTTGTGTTTGGAAATGAAGAGCATTAAGAAACATTTCAAATTAAAAGCTAAAGCTGTTCTTTTTAAATGCAGCAACAGAATTTCTTGATGCATCTATTCGCTGGCTTTCACTTTTTACTGAAAACATTTACTAAGTTTACTATAAGTTAAAGAAAAGCAATTGAATTTATATTTGTTCCTTAAAGATTTCTGCTGCTTTTCACCACTCTGCTCTCTTAGAGCTGTCTTATTCCCCATCGCTGGTTGGTTACAGATTCTGAGCATCGTACCCTATTGAAACTGGTGATTTCTGTTCCTACTTTGCTAAGATAGTTGCTTTGCTACTGCTGAGTATCAGGCTTCATGTTGTCACATAAATATCTTCTGTGGACTCATTGTTCCACAGCATCCTTGAGTTAAATTGCATGTTCTTAAAATGTTCCGAAATGTTAGAGAGGAATTTCTTCATTTTTAACAAATTTCCTCCAGCATTCAGAGAATTAAGTGAGCTTTTATTCCTAATGATTTGAGTCAAATGCTGACTGTCTGAGGTGTTCTGATAATTTTTAGCTTTAATTTTCCTTCAGTCAATATAGGGCAATCCCTTAGTGGATTCAAAATTTGGATAGAATGTATTTATAACCATAGAAAAAAAATATGAAAGTCATAGTGCCAAATAAATGAAATAAAAAATCTTTTCACATGCCAGAACATTACAAAAATCCCAGCAGAGCAGTAACTGAAAGGTCAATAACCTCACTTCATAATAAAGAAAGACAGAATACCAAGATCTATTCATTTCAGGGTCTAATTTTAAATCATTGCCACTTTTAGGAAGATAGACTACGTTAAAATAGAAAGAAATATGTCTAATGTCTAGCACAGAGATCGGAGGCCTTAAGAGAAATGTTAGGATACCCAGTCACATAACTGTTCTGAAGACCTTATCTACTAAGAAAACAGAGCAGGTAAAGAAAGAGGCACAAATATTTCAAGTACCTGGGAAAGAGCTCACGGTAGGTCATGGGCAGGGTGTGAACAAAACTCAGAGCTGAGAGAGGTCTGTACCTCTCAGAGTCATGGCACCAACTCTATCTTGTTTGGCACAATGTTATCCACTCAACAGCTCAAATCTTCAGAAAGTCTTCAATTAACATTTTTATTCTGGTTAATGTCTAATGCACAGGAACACCTATTTAAAACAACAGTAACAACAACAACAACATAAGATAATCTCTACTCAGTCCTAGTAACACTCCTTTATTTTTCCTCTCTGTAAAGGAAGAACAAGAAACCAGAGATGCATGCTTCCTTGAAAGGCCATAGTGAGCTGTTTTCTGGAACTGAGCTTTTACCCAGAGTCGTTTACCCTTTTGCTGTGTTGAAATTAAGTGTGCTGTCTTACTATCAACAGAGAATATGTCATAGAAGCAAATATTTTATTTTTTGTTTCTCGAGTCCAAATAGCTGCAGCCTGCACTTGATGCCCGTGTGTAGATATAAACTGGTAAGGTTTTCCAGTTCTACAGTATGTTTAAAACAAATACTGGGCAGGGCAAAAATTAATCATGAGAAAAGGAACAAAGTACTGTGTCATAATCCCACACTGTTAGTGAAATGCACACACAGCCACAGCATAGTACTTTGTCTTGGCCACCTTGATGCAAATGTTGAAACCTTGTAAGTGAATTGTGCCTAGCACTCACCAGTAGATGTGAGAACACCAACCCTAGCATACAGAGTTAAAAATTTAATCTAGGAAAATATTAAACCAATTTGACATCTACAAATTGAGTGGAATTGTTCAGCTATGGTAATTTATATACATATACAGCTGTTCCTAGGGTCCTGTTTCAAGACAAAGCCCACTTCCATTTAACAACT